TCGCGTGCCCGATGGGGGTGAAATGTAGCCATCACCGATGTATAGCTATTGAAGCACTCGACCCACGAAAGAATGTCTAATGGTGGTTTCTTTTCACGGGCCGACTTCGACAATGGCACGATCGACGAGCCCTCGATGGTGAAGCTGGTCGTGTCTGAAACAGGTTCGTCGAGGTTCTCCGGGAGAAGATCGCCCATTTCGACGAATTTGTTCTGGAGAATTTTCGTGACCAGCTTCGGTGGAATTGGCGCACGGCCGGGGCCCAAGCTAAACGCTTTCTCAGGACCGAGGTGGGGAGTCATCGACATGTTAGTGGCATGGAGAGAAGAGAGAATAGGGGGTTCGTTGCCGGAGATACATGCGCTCACTGCTGGCCGGGTTGTGGGCAAGGAAAAACTTGGCTCGGGGATAGTACTACCGCTTAAAGCCGTAACAAACGAAGGAGCGTATAACGTACCTTGCTGAGACGAGTTATCTTGGTGTGATGTAGCAATGGACGTGGACGGGAGCGCATCCCCCAACTGTTCCAAATGCGTCGTAGAGTGCTGGGACGACGTGGACGCAAGGTTAGCCATGGCGTTCTGAAGCCCTGAGAGAAACTCGGGCGACTGAAAAGCAGCGCTCCAGTTGATGTTGGTCCCAGTGGCAGCTGGGGTAGAAGACTCTCCCAAAGACGCCTCAGCCGTGTGTGAATCCATTAAGACGAAGTTTCGATTCTCTCGATATAACTTTTTAAACTTTTTGTTAAGCTTGTTACACTTTGCGTGCCGAGCAACTAATGACCGCAACGCGAGCGAGCACGCAATATAACACGTGGGCTGACGCAGCGCACCTCGACAGGAACACCTAACTTCCGGATCACGCGTGGTTTCCTCGCTATTAACTTTGGTTATTGAATAACCTCATTTACTCCAATGAACACAATAACTGGTTTCGAAAGTAAAACAACAACAAAATATTGGCGCCTACTATTAAATATTGGCTAGATTTCACAAAGTGAATGCCTATAACTAAAGGTCTAATATTCTTCTGTGGGCAAAAAGAGGGGTAAAATAGGTATGATATGACCCAAAATACTTTTATAGGATAAGCATATAAATTTGATCATTGCAATATCCTAAAATTGATAAACAGTGTAAACAAAGTAACAAACTGGAACTAATCTAAATTATATGTACAAATACCGTAGCGCCAAGAGGAGGTTGGTTATTACCCTGAAGACATACAGGTGCCAGGTTCTAAGTTCAGGATGCAAGTAAAAATAAGAGTGTTTCAACAATAGTTAGACTACTTGCTTGATTTTACTACATTATTAGATCTAAAATTACTCAAATTTGGATTTGATCTAGTTTCCTATTTTTTCTAAACATAAACTCTAGCTCATATTCATTGTCACTGAGATGTGTTTAACCAAAATAGTGTGAAGTCTAACAGTACATGATATTGTTTACAATACGGACTGTACCCTACCTTTAGATTACGATCTAATATAACGGGTTAGATAGATGAAAGAGGTGGATGTGTGATCTTAAAAACTTGTTTATGATGCTCCAGAGATTTCAAATTTAAAAATTTTTCTTGTTTGCGACAACCCACTGAACCCAGGTTTGACGCCAACTTCGTGAGTATGACTGCCCATTCAGATATATATAGCTCAGTTATTCACACGCGGGCCGCAGTGTTCCAGTAAAGGGGGCTTATTCACTCTCAATATGGGGGAATAAATAATGGGAAATAATGGGGGGATTTGTTATAGATTGAGACACAATGCTTAGTCAATGTTTGTATTCATTTATTTGAATAACTATTGAACCGTGAGAAAAAAATGTTTAAATCAAGTAAACATTGCATAATTGACAATCAATGAGCAGCTCATGTGTATGAAACATTACTTTTTGCTCTAATTCAATAGACCTTTCTTATAATGACGTCAAACTCCACAAAACGAGCAAATCAATCTTCGTGTAACATCAGACTTTCCGTGTTTGACGTCATTATGAAAAAGGTCTATTTAAGTCCGTTTTCCACTAGACGAATTCATTCCCGCGACGCGATAACTGAAATCTGGTGATGTGTTTGGTCTACACAGGAATTGCGCAGCTGTGTCAGTTGTTCACTTTATGTGTTAACATTGTATACAATCCATCGTATCATTTGCCGACCATTGCTCACCGAAACATTATCAAACATTTAGGGGTGATTCAACTCATCACTCAAGTGAAAAATTTTGTCCGCTTCTTGTCATAACAAAGTAAAGTGAAGTATAGTACGAGTAAGCTGGCTAATTAAGAATTACGATACATGGATATGTAATAGGACAATTAACGAGTACTTATACAGGGTGTATCAAAAAAAACGCAACCACTTAATATTCATGATATCCTCTTTGTTCTACAACACAAAAACGTTTGGCCCCTGGAATGCGAGAAAGCTTATAATCATATTCTAGCGGCACAATCGTCGGTAAACAAAGTCGGGTGCGTAAACCAACGAGCTGAAATGAAAGTATTTAACGAGTAAAATTTTATTTACAATTTATTTTACAAGGTCGACAGTTAGCATTTAAGTTATCATGCACGACAATAAAAACTCGTTGTTCAGTTGTTAGCTGCACCATTATTAGTTTGGCTGATTTGACCATTAGCAGTTGAACTGTACGATTAGAAGCCATTTTAAAATCCCAGGGGCATAAAATCTATTGAGCTTATGAACAATATGAATTTTAGAATATTAAGTGGTTGCGTTTTTTTTTATACACCCTGTATATACTGCATGAGCATAACATGCACCAAGACTATATACATGGTGATCACCGCTATAACTAAAAAGACACTGAGTTTGGCGTGCGGAATAATCAGCGAATTTAGCGTTTTGGAATAGCGATACTTAACTACAACATGCCGCATGCAAACTAACAAAATTAACAAACAAATACGCGCAAATTACTTGAAATAAACAAACAGAGCAAAATGTGAGCATAACGCATGAGAATCTTATTTTACTTATACTTTGTTTGCGCACGCACGAAACTTTGCAACACAACTCTTGGGAGACAAAACTGTGACGTTGATAAAAACGGTCACATACACATTTCAAATACCAGTATATTTCGCGCTAAAACACCCTTGCGACGTCGAAAAATAAAACCAAACAAAAACAATAACAAAACAAAAATCAACTCCGTCGCTGACGCCGAAGTAATTATACTGCATGAGCATAACATGCACCAAGACTATACAGAAGACTATGTACATCAATACCATGCATAACTAAAAAGACACTGAGTTTGGCATGCGGAATAATCAGCGAATATAGCGCTCTGAAATAGCGATACTTAACTACATCATGCGACTATAGCAAAGAAACACGCGCAAATTACTTGTAATAAACAAACAGCGCAAAATGTGACCATATTAAACGCATGAGAATCTGTTTTTACTTATACTTTGGTTTGCGCATGCACCAAACTTTGATAGAAAAATAGCGTAAAATATGTAGATTTCTAGAGTTCTAACGTGAGTAGATATTGATACGCCAATTATTTTAATAAAGGCTCAAACGACAGTTGCTTACTCACGAGCAGGTCCACGTTAAACACTGACTTAAATTTGCTATATACTGGCAAGTTGGCTATATTTACACGGAGCGACACCGGAACGTGATATAGATTTAGAATTGATGTTTTACGCAACGGATATCGCAAGGTTAGGCTGGGAAAGCGCATTCAGTGGCATAGGAAGCAAGTTAAAGTTAGGGGGGGGGCATACTTTCAGGGGCACTTCTTCATAGAAAAAGCGCACCCTCAAGTTAATTCATTTTCGGTTGCTAAACAGCGCAATTCTTGTCTTGTCTTAAAAAAAGGGAATTTAGTTAGTTGTTGTATTTCATATTTGTAATGCAAGCTACATTAAAACAGCAAATTCGTAGTATTTTCAAAAAGTATTGTTACCTTTTAATATAATGATATTTTAAATATAAATGCCATATATTAATTGTTAGTATTATACCACTAAGTACCGCATGGTTCGCGGGACCATGTTGTATGCTGTCTTATCAAATAATAAGAGTTTAAAATTTTAACATAAATTTTTAACAAGAAAATTTTGCAACTTTGAATATGTTATAACTTTGACCATATAAAATCTGAATTCGGTAGATGTCAAATCGCAAAATTTGGGTTTGGTAACTTAGCAACAAGAAGACGTAATATTTCCGGCTTGGAAACTTTCGGTATTTGTGCTATTTTTATTAGAATAAACGTCGCAATTGGCAAGCCAGGGTTTTTCGAAAAAATATTTAAAAGCTAGCGAATGCTGGAATCCTAAAAAAAATTTACTACATTCATTAAGTCAGGCACAAACTCTCATAAGGGCATACTAATGTTAGGTACAAAAAAGGGCACTCTCCTTATAAAAAAGGGCATTGTTTCTTATATTTTTGAAAGTTGGGGGGCACATGCCCCTGAACGGGGGCACATGCCCATGCACTGAACGCATTACGCATTACGCATTTCCTGACTAAACGTACGCATTTTTGTTCAGCGGTTGTGGCCGCGGAAAATAACAAAGTTGTTTTTGCCACTCAATAGTACGTGGCGTGCTCTTTTTATTGATTGCTAGCTAAATACTTGTCTAGGACGGGCGCATTATTTAGAACTGTTTCTTTTTCATAATTGTTTGGTAAGTGAAAGCTTTTAATTAATGGCGCGAGCAATCAAATCACGACGAACGTGATATTTATGTGACGTTTAGATGTGTTCTCAAGTAATTGTACTGATTATGGCCCGGTTTAACAGACCGAAAGCTTTGCAGTATTAAATACTAACGTGGTGTACCTACAAGCTAATTTACTTAGTTTTAAACATGTTTGAAGAGCGATGTAATTTGGAGCTAACAGTAATTAATAATAGCTTGGTTTTTTCAGGTTCCCAGGCTATTTTGACCCGACGTCTGAATAGATTTTCTCGAAGATGGCGATCCGCCCAGATGATATGATATATAGTTATGAGCAATAAAGGGGCTTATAAATAAAAATTTAAGAATGACTGAATCCAAGGAAGATGACAATGTTATGATGTCCCAGATTGAGAACAGAGACGTAACTTCAAGCTTTGCACAGAAAATGGACAATATCGTTTCGTCCGAAAATAAACAATCCCAGTCTGCTGCTAATAAACAGAAAGAAGTTCAAGAGGAATTCCAAGAAAAAGGCATCCAAAACGAAAAATATGATGATGGTAAGAATTACAACAAGCGTCCTATGATAGAAGTATGAAGCCTACCCACCATTAACTCGAGCATTTTGATCAAAGCCGTAGTTGGAAGGGGTGTGCATATTCATACATTTATGTTTATATATGTTTTTATTCATGTTTTAGCTATACATACCGTAGTAAGATCAGTCGGGCGTAAGACCAATATATGAATGGACACCCCGTGTTGAAAATCTCCAAACAATTTTCAGCTACGCTGTTCCAAAATCTGGGACTGTATATAATTTTACCATCATTCAGAAATCAACCCTTTACAAACATTAATTCACGCTCTAACACACAAATTATGCTTGCGTTATTACCTGCAATTGGTGACAAAATGGCTGTTACTTGTGCGCTAATTTGCATTATTTTAATCCATCTATACATAAAGGCCTTCGAGTTTTACTATAAAGTAGATTGAGTGAAAATGTAAAACGTCGTAACGTCAGAGCCACAGACTTGGATCACTGTTTGCCGACCTCTAGATGGATAGAGCAGCTGTTTAGAAACGTTTTGGTTACCGCATGTCAAACCTTGGTTATTTTTGCAGTAATTTAGAAATATATTGCTCAAAATTTTGGCAGTGTTCTCGCAACGAACTTATAAAATCGCTCACATTCATACGAAAATTTCGAATCGGATTGTCGATGAATTGACGTGTATTAAATATACCACGAGATTTTGTAAGAGATATTGTCTTTCGTATTCCTGTTATAAATTTTCTCGTACGGTCCGGATTTTTTTTGCAGTCACTTTAGAAAATATTATCAGCCTCACAAGGCATTTCAAACATATGAAGCGTATACACACATTTGAACACAGCCAGTTGGCGGAAAGTAGAAACACCCAAGGTAAGTAATTTGATCATCAAAGCGTTGCGAAACGGTCGTTCTATTGGTCCAGAGGTCGGCAAACAGTGGGCAACATCCAGGGCAACGGCAATTTTAGGTTTTGTACTTTTGCTATAAGTACTAAGTCAATAAATTGTTGCATGGATCTCACCCGCAATTTCGTTCGGCACTGTCCAGTTATTGTTTTTTTCGTTCCTCTTGTTCATGTAATTGTCCATCTTATGTAATATTGCACAAATATATATAGGTATTGAGAAGAAGAAAGAGACAAGTAGAAGCGTGAATGTCTGCAAAGAAGGAAAACAAAAATTTTGGGACGAAATAAAAAAGCAAGTTGAATGTGGTGAAAACAAAGAAGATCATTGGAAGAAGACAATTCTTTGGCGTGCTTTTCAGTTTAGTCCAGTAGATCCGAAAATTTTCAAGTATTTAGTTGACCATGGAGCAGACGTCTATTCCAACAACGAAGATGGTGAAACAGTTTTCTCGATAGCGACGAGAAATGGTTTATTTGATCTTGTTAAGTATTTTGTTCAATATGGCCCTGAACATAATTTTCGGGACGATTCTAAAGTTCTTCAGAGTGCAATACAGTCTCGGTCATTGGAAGTTGTGAAATATTTCGTTGAAGATTGTGGGGCTGATATACATTGTAAAGATGATTCGGGAAATACTGCCTTACATCATGTCAAATACTTATTTAAACAATGCGGTGCAGACATGAATGCTAGGAATCCAGACGGGGGGACAATGCTACAACTTGCGATTTCTGAAGGTACGCTAGAAATGGTGAAATATCTTGTTGAACAGGGCACTGATGTAAATGGCCAGGGTACTGACGGGTGGACAGCGCTGCACGCTGCTGTTACAAAATCAACTCCAGAAGTTGTAAATTATCTTGTTGAGAAGGGCGCTGATGTAAATGTCAAGAATACTGACGGGAAGACAGTGCTGCACTCTGCTGTTTCTGACGGTACGCTAGAAATGGTGAAATATCTTGTGGGAAATGGCGCTGAATTAAATGTAAAACAGAATAATGGATGGACAGTGTTGCACAGTGCGGTTAGAAAAGGTTCGCTAGAAATGGTGGAATATCTTGTTGAGAAGGGCGCTGATGTAAATGCCAAGGATACTCACCGGGAGACAGTGCTGCACTCTGCTGTTTCTGAGGGTACGCTAGAAATGGTGAAATACCTTGTGGGAAATGGCGCTGATGTAAATGGCAAGAATATTCTCGGGATGACAGTGCTGCACTTTGCTGTTTATAAAGATTCGCTAGAAATGGTGAAATATCTTGTTGAGAAGGGCGTTGTTGTAAATGGGAAAAATATTCTCGGGAAGACAGTGCTGCACTCTGCTGTTTATAAAGGTACGCTAGAAATGGTGAAGAATCTTGTCGAGAAGGGCGCTGATGTAAATGCCAAGGATCCTCACGGGGAGACAGTGCTGCACTCTGCTGTTTATAAAGGTACGCTAGAAATGGTGAAATATCTTGTTGAGAAGGGCGCTGATGTAAATGCCAAGGATACTCACGGGGAGACAGTGCTGCAGCATGCTGTTTCTGATGGTACGCTAGAAATGGTGAAATATCTTGTGGGAAATGGCGCTGATGTAAATGGAAAGGATACTGACGGGTGGACAGTCTTGCGCTATGCTGTTAGCAAAGGTTCGCTAGAAATGGCGAAACATCTTGTTGAAGAAGGCGCCGAAGTAAGTGGAAAGGATAATAACGGGTGGACATTGCTGCACATTGCTGTTAGAAAAGGTTCGCTAGAAATGATAGAATATCTTGTTGAAAATGGCGCTGATATAAATGGCAAGCATACTGATGGATGGACAGTCTTGCACTATGCCATTTGGCTAGGTGCTATTGTAAAAGGTTCGCTAGAAATGGTGGAATGTCTTGTTAAGAAGGGCGCTGATGTAAATGCCAAGATTACTCACGGGGAGACAGTGCTGCACTTTGCTGTTTATGAAGGTACGCTAGAAATGGTGAAATATCTTGTTAAGAAGGGCGCTGATGTAAATGCCAAGAATACTCAAGGGGAGACAGTGCTGCACTCTGCTGTTTCTGAAGGTACGCTAGAAATGGTGGAATGTCTTGTTAAGAAGGGCGCTGATGTAAATGCCAAGAATACTCACGGGGAGACAGTGCTGCACTTTGCTGTTTATGAAGGTACGCTAGAAATGGTGAAATATCTTGTTAAGAAGGGCGCTGATGTAAATGCCAAGAATACTCAAGGGGAGACAGTGCTGCACTCTGCTGTTTCTGAAGGTACGCTAGAAATGGTGAAATATCTTGTTGAGAAGGGCGCTGATGTAAATGCCAAGGATACTCACGGGGAGACAGTGCTGCAGCATGCTGTTTCTTATGGTACGCTAGAAATGGTGAAATATCTTGTGGGAAATGGCGCTGATGTAAATGGAAAGGATACTGACGGGTGGACAGTCTTGCGCTATGCTGTTAGCAAAGGTTCGCTAGAAATGGCGAAACATCTTGTTGAAGAAGGCGCCGAAGTAAGTGGAAAGGATAATAACGGGTGGACATTGCTGCACATTGCTGTTAGAAAAGGTTCGCTAGAAATGATAGAATATCTTGTTGAAAATGGCGCTGATATAAATGGCAAGCATACTGATGGATGGACAGTCTTGCACTATGCCATTAGGCAAGGTGCTATTGTAAAAGGTTCGCTAGAAATGGTGGAATGTCTTGTTAAGAAGGGCGCTGATGTAAATGCCAAGAATACTTACGGGGAGACAGTGCTGCACTCTGCTATTTCTGAAGGTACGCTAGAAATGGTGAAATATCTTGTTAAGAAGGGCGCTGATGTAAATGCCAAGAATACTCAAGGGGAGACAGTGCTGCACTCTGCTGTTTCTGAAGGTACGCTAGAAATGGTGAAATATCTTGTGGGAAATGGCGCTGATGTAAATGGAAAAAAGAATAGCGAATGGACAGTGTTGCACAGTGCTGTTGTAAAAGGTTCGCTAGAAATGGTGGAATATCTTGTTAAGAAGGGCGTTGATGTAAATGCCAAGAATACTCTTGGGGAGACAGTGCTGCACTTTGCTGTTTTTGGAGGTAAGCTAGAAATGGTAAAATATCTTGTGGGAAATGGCGCTGATGTAAATGGAAAAAAGAATAGCGGATGGACAGTCTTGCACAGTGCTGTTGACAAAGGTTCGCTAGAAATGGTAGAATATCTTGTGGAGAACGGGGCTGATGTAAATGCCAATAATACTAACGGAGAGACAGTCTTGCAACATGCTGTTAGTGTTGGTGATTTAGTAACTATCAAGTACTTAGTTGAACAGGGTGCTGATATAACTGTTGGAAGTGAATCCTTCTTTTCTGTTGGCATTGTCATCCTCCAAATGGCTGTTATAAACAACTTCGTCGCCTTGGTCAATCTTCTTTATGAGAAGGATATCGCGATGTGGAGAGAGCAAACGAATATTGTTAAAGGGCGAGGAATGAATCTTCTTGAATTGAGCATTAACCTTGGTCATGATGAAATTGCAACTATCTTGAAAAGGTCCGTAAAACATCGTGAGAAAATTCAGAAGTTGAAAACAAGTAACTGTAACCAGTTAGAAGAGGTAATATTTTAAATATATGTGAGATTGTATAGTAAGTTTTGGAAAATAACCAATCTAAGGTTATGGGGAGGTTTTTATGAGTATAGAGATGTTAGATTGGGTAGGTCACACACAACTAATGGCGTGAGGGGCCCCTCTTAATTGGGGGGGGGGAGGTTTGATGCAACTGCGCGGAAAAAAATTTTGTCGAATTTTATGTCGAATTTCGCAATCGATTTTTTTTTCACCAGATGGTGTAGCGTTTTACCACCAGGGGCCAGTTGTATAAAAGACTAGTTAACTTTTAACTGTAGTTAAGGGCATAAGTCAGAGTCGTGTATTTTCTGAGTTAACTAGGATTTAACTATGCAACGTGAAGTTAAATAGTTTTACACGACCGGCCCAGTTGTTTTATTTTACTTTTCCAAAGCTTTTTTGCATATTGTGCACATTGGTGAAAATTTAAAAGTGTCAGTCAGTCATAGAGTAAACTTTCCGGGGGTAGTCGAGGTTCATGTTTTTGGTCATTATTTTAAAGTAATTTTTTTAAAGAAATTTAGCTCCCTAAAGACGGCGCATGTGCCGTCGCACATGAATTCAAAGACTTTAGTACGGAGATGAACTATAATGGGGATAGATGCAACATTGCATGCGATTTATTTTGTCAGTGTTTATTGATGCAAGAAGTATTTTAAAGATTGTGTGTTTACCATCATGCTTTGCGTGCTCAAGTCAAATTACATTCACAATGTAAAGAAACGAGGACTGAGTGTTGGTTAAAACATTTCGGACGCAAAAATCGAGTAACTCCTGAAAATATAATTCAACAAGACGCCTGTTCTGGCGTTAACTCCGGCGTGCCGCGCACGTGCCTGTCTTCAATATAAAGCTTCTGAACATAAACAATACAGTTCATACTCATTTAATTTAGATGCCTAACAAACCTAAATGTTGTTCGATGGGGAAATTCAGAAGGACATCGTACTTTAAAAAGAATAGAAGTTCAATTGCTTATTGTTTAATTGTTTATTTACATAAACCTCATGATACGTTCACTTTCCCAATTAAATCTAAACTTAATCGAAAAGCATCAAAAGAACGGTTTATTTGGAGGAATTGCCGTATCATGCGAGCGAAATCAAATGGCGTGTCGGTAAATTAGTCAGAGATTTCGAGCTGTGCACCACAACTCTTAGGAGACAAAACTGTGACGTAGTAAATACGCTCGCGTACACTTTTCAAATATATATACTAGTATATTTTGCACCAAAACACACTTGCGACGTCGAAAAATAAAAAACAAAACAAAAAGCAAAACAAAACCTAGGCAAATTTTTAACTCCGTCGCTCATGCCGGAGTAATGATAAACAATTATTGGATGAGGTTTTTGTGATATGCAGAGTTATCAAGGTCGAGGTAAGCGTTATCTCTTGATAACTCTGCATATCACAAAAATCGAATTCAATCATTGTTTTATTATACATTTGAAGAAAAGTAAACATAGTATTACGAATGAAAAACCTTGTTTAAAATAATTAATAATACATAAATACATTGAAATGAATACCGCTTGTTAACCACCGCAGGCTCACTTGCAGATAACTCGGTTATCTGCTGGTAGATAACTGAGTTATCAGGAAGTGAGCCTCCGGTGGTTAACAAGCGGTATTCATTTCTGATACAAACAAGGGAAAACAAACGTTTACAAAACGTAAAAAAAAAGATATGGATAGATTCTCAAACTTTACCGAAGATGAGAATCATGAGATACAAGAACTACTAGAAAACAGAGACGCGGAGAATACAAAAAGAACATATAAAGTTGCAAAGGAACTATTTTGTGAAAAGCTAAAGCAGAAAGTGATACCAGAACCGACCGAGAAAAATGAACATGCTGAGTTCTTGAGAAATTTTACGTCGACGCGCGAAAAAAAGATGGTTCGCCTTATAGTATGGAAAGCCTTAGAACAATCCGATTTGTTTTAAAAAGATATTTAAAGACGACAACCGGCTTTGATATTATTAATGACGAAGGATTCAACGAAGGGAACGAAATTTACTCGGCGAAATGTGTCCAACTGAAAAAGGAAGGACTGGGAAAAGTGCAACACAAGCCTCCGATAGCCGATGCAGACTTGAAAAAAACTTGACGAAAGTGTTGTGTTTAACACAGATAACCCAAAAACACTTCTGAACAAAGTGTTTTGCGAAATCATGTTGTGCTTTTTTCGTCGTGGACGTCAAAACATACGCCAGTTAAATAAATTCCCAATTTGCTGTTATGCTCGATGCTTCGGGAAAAAAATTTGTGAGGAATGTTGTCGACGAGCTTACCAAAAATCACAGGGAAAACGACGAAGCCGAACATGGAACAACGATGTATGCAACTGAAGGCCCATTCTGTCCTGTAACGTCTTTTGAGAAATATCTACAGCATTTAAATCCGCAGAATGAATTTTTGTTTCAACGTCCAAAGAAAAATACGACTCCTGATTCTGATGTTTGGTATGACAACATGGTGATCGGCGAAAAATACCATGATAAAAAACATATCCAAACAAGCAGGTTTATCAAAGCAGTACACAAACCATTCGATACGGGCGACAGCAGTCACAATATTGGATAAATCAGGTTTCGAGGCTCGACACATCATGTCGGTTAGTGATCATCGTTCCGAAAGTTCCATCCGAATTTATTCCGAAAGCTCCATCCGAAGTCATCCGACGCTAGAAAGAAGCGAATCTCAGAGACCTTGACATCTGCAACTACAGGTACCAGTGGTAGTGACTTCCCATCTATGGTATATGACCAACAGATAGCTGAACCAACATTGGCACCAAAACCCTTATCTCCCCTATTGAGCCTTTCACAAGAACATATCTTGGCAGACATGAACTTGACCAGCAACACACAGGTTACCAAACAATATACATTTCACAATTGTAATGTTTACTTTAATAAGTAAACACGTTAGCGATATAATTCAATTTTTCAATTGTCATCTAATTGTTTACTGTTTGATATAATTGTTAATTCTATTATGCGTTATGGTCATAATTTAACCGTTTAACTAAACTTCCAGTAACTTGTTCATTGCACTTGAGTGTATTTATATATTAATAATTGATGTATTTTTGGATGTTGCTATTAAATAAGGTTTTTCATTCGTTAATACTATGTTAACTATTCTTCAGATGTATAATAAAACAATGATTATTGAATTCGGTTTTTGTGATATTCAGAGTTATCAAGAGATAACGCTTACCTCGACCTTGATAACTCTGCATATCACAAAAACCTCATCTAATAATTGTTTATTATTATCATGGCTAACGTAATTTGAGTACTTAATTTTGAGTATAATTTTTTCATTCTAACGCTTTTCTGCATTGGTGTTTATCTGAAATGAATATTGTGATGTTGCTATTCTAAACCAACCACCAACCGGGTAAGCTGAAAAAATAGCTATCTCTGCCCCACTAAAGGCAGCGTACAAATTTTTCCATATTTTAGTGTCGTGTAATATTGACAACAAGATATTAGCAGTAAATCGCCTGTTTTTTTAAGGCTAACATTTAACCTGGTTCTTTATATTTTAACTGGCATTTTTACTTACTAGCTATTTTTACCTGACTCATTTATTTCGATATCAGTTTGATTGCTTGGGTATTAGAGAGCACTTTACACTAACCTCGGATTCCTAGTTTTAATTTTTGAAATTAATGCATCGGTTAGGCAAAATAATATGACATTGAAAATCAAACAACAGATGATTCCAATAGGGGGTATGTTTCTTATACAACCTGTAGAATATAGAATATTATTATTATTATTTTATTCCAGAATATTTTGCTCAAAGAATGAACGGAACAACGGGGAGGGGCTCAAGCAGCAGCTTTCACCGCCCCGGCTCGCATAAGCCTATTGTGTGCAACGTATTCAAGATTTTTATTCGAATCATGTCTTTCTGATAAAATCACTTAAAAATATAGCATTAAATTGAGATTTCGATATTTAGAAGTTGAGAATATACTTTTTAAACTGTGAATGTGTTCTTGCTTTTTTCTTCTCACTGTGGAATATTTATCGTGTTTTTTTTTCAAAGATTGGCATTCCGATGCAGGCCTTTGTCGCCGACAAGCAATTTAGAATTGGCGATGGTGGATATTCAAGTGTCTATGTTGGTCTCATGAAAGATGGGACTGAAGTTGCTGTTAAGAAAATGATCGTACAAAAGTGTGATGAAATAGCTGAGAACGAAAGGGAAATTATGAATCTTATTAAAACATGCGACTCACCATTTATAGTAAGTTATCGACATTTTCACCGTGACGATACCTTCATATATCTTATTCTTGATCTTTGCGAAGAAACCTTGAGGGAACTTGTTCATGCATCCAGCATTGAACATGTACAAGAGCATGGTCCACGAATGATTAAGGAAATTCTAATCGGACTTGAATTTCTCCATGGTAAAGGTATATTGCACAGAGATCTAAAGCCATCAAACGTCCTGGCTAGTATCGAAGGTCGCATGAAATTGGCAGATTTTGGAATAAGCCGCGTTCTAAAGGACGATGAAACAGCAGTTGAAACAGATGCTAAAGGTACTGACGGATGGCTGCCAACAGAAGTGATTGAAGCAGTGGAGAAAAAAGAAAAATGTCTTTTCAAAAAGAAATCGGATGTCCAGGTAGCGGGTATGATTGCTTTCTTCATCTTAACAAAAGGTGAACACCCTTTTGGATCTAGGTTAGAACAAATGAAAAATATTTTGAAAGGAAACTCTGTCAATTTGAAGAAACTTGGTGATCGTAAAGCTAGAAAGTTTGTGTCGTGGCTGATTAGTCAAAGGATTGATAAGAGACCTTATGCTCACGAAGCACTGAAAGATTTTTTCATTAAAAAGAATTATTAGAGTGAGAATACAGAACGTCACTGACAGAAATGAAACAAAAGTTATCAACTACAAGTTCATATTCCTGGTATCATAACATGGTATTCTTTTGTTGTTGAACTAAACTGAGTAAATCACCTTAATCATATTTACTTTTGTATGCATTTTTTGCATGTGTGCTGCATTTAGTCCAACTTATTCAAGAGAAGATCATCCATCTGGAAAAACTTGTAGAAAGAAAAGTTAGTTAACCTGATAGTCATTGTATGTAAACATTGGTGAACTGCTCCTCTGAATAAACGGACTCTAATTTGCGGCAAGAGTTTGACTATGCTGTCGGGCCATTTTTGCCGTTTTTTCCTCGGTTCCTAGCGTAGGTCTAGTCGGTTCATCCTCATGCCAAGGGGCCAGGTCCTTCTGTGTACCTCGTGCGACGTTATTACGGAAGAATTCGCTGAGTTTGGTACGGGGATGAACTATATATAATGGGGATGGATGGGACATTGCATGCGATGTATTTTATCGGTGTTTATTGATGCAAGCCAAGAAATATTTTAAAGATTGTGTGTTTACCATCATGCTTTGCGTGCTCAAATCAACTTCACGCGCCGAAAAATTGAGATTTCTGTATATAATCCATGAAAATTTGAACCATCTTTGGGTTAATTTGCTTATTTACCCTGAAAATGCAAGACAGAAATATTCTTTGTGACCATGGTTGCTAGTGAATCGCTTTTTAGGGCAAATGTTAACAGTAATAATTGCAAAGTATGACGGGTGATTAACATTCTTCAATAATTCTTGTTCATCAATGACACACAAATAATCGTGTGTGTGTTTTTTAACTAGGGAGTTGGTTAGGGATAATCTGAGAATATACAACCGCGGACTTACTCTTAAAAAATATGAACTACTTTTTATAACGAAAGAGAGTGTGCGAGTCAAACCTCGCGTAAACTTGTTCCATTTGTATGTATAGGAGCATAGTGTACTGTATACCTAATGATATACCTTCATAATCTACTGTGTCCTTTGTAATGACACTTACTGGCTTTATGACTTTGTAATAATTATTCTAATATCTATATAGATAATCAAAAATAAGAACTATAACCAATCTCGGAGATTTGGGAAAACCAGCACCCTCAATCCTCCCAGCTGCTGACCTCAATCAAGTTTAGTATCTGAGTACAATTCCAAAAGTCCAAATACCCGTAGCGTCGAGAGAGTGGGGGGGGGGGGTGATAACCCAGAGTAGAACTCTTTTACTGAATTCTAAATTAGTTTTACTAATTCATTTTCAAGAACTCACTTACTGAATTCATTTTATTTTCCATACATGAATATGTAGTGTAGTCTCAGCGATTTGGAGCAGTGGCCGAGGTTGCATAATGAGAGAGTTTTGATTCCGTACACGGTCGGAAGCTTCTCTAATATGCAATTGCGTTTTATCGTTCGGATAGGCGCTGAATTAACCTAAGTTAGATTATTCTTTTCACACAGGCCGCACTCAACTATCGCACTAAGCTAGGTTGGTATTACACATTATTATTAAGTCACACATGTATTATTAAGTCAACCCTGATTAATTATATTTTTTCTTTAATTCTCGCGTTCTTTGTAAAAAATTTAAAAAATATTCAGGATCGCTTAGGGGCACATTTAAGTTTGCATCCCTTGAGATTTTTAAAAGAGAATAAATCATGATTTTTTGGTAGTGGACCACCTTACACAAGAGCAGTCAGCTTTAAAAATATAAATTGTTTGTGCGTTAAACTTCATCTAAACTTGTTCTATACTTGTTTGTATAGCAATATAGTCTATAGATATACCTTCTGCGGTCCTTTGTAAAGACATATACTTGTCTTATATTGTTATTATTTTTAATATTTGAAAAAAATGTTTAAAATCTTCAGGGGATTGTCCATTAAACTTGACCGAAACCTTTCATGACAAGGTTTAGGCATAGAAATTCAAAAGAAGACATTCATGGACATTTTTTGTCTATATTTAATATTAAAATTTTGTATCCATTCGGGCGCTGGTTTGCTCTCTGAATATTGACTAAGCTTCCGTGTGTGTATGCAGTTTGAGGCGGCAGGTGCTCCAAACAAGTTTGGCAAAACCATAACCCCCGCTGTTTTAAGCGCGTGATCTCTATATAGTACCAAGCACGGTCCCCTATTTTGCAAAGTTGAAGCAACGCTTGTTCGAACAGCGCCTCACTTACTCGCGTTTATCATATAATATTTTACTATTTCTTTTATCAGTTGGCTAGAGACCTGAGTCATTTCCATAGAGCAAACTATATTGTTCAAGCGACCATGGAGGATCGTCAAAAGGGGGGCATGGTACAAAAATATGGGTGGCGCAAAAGAGGTCTGGGTTCGTTTTTGGTATTCAGAATGTAAATGAAATGAAGAGAAAATCAGCGGGTTCTGCGCATCGGTTCTGCTGATAACAATGGTTAGACTATATTTCGCTTGAAATCAGTGCTCTAATTTTCAATGTTTCCCAGATATTTTTCTAAACATAAATTCCAGCTCATACTGATTAAGAGGTTTAGCCAACCAAAATAGTGGTAAATATTCCGATGTACAAAATATACTTGTTTACATGACGGACTTCACCTTAGCTTTCAGCGACGTTCTAACAGCTTACTGAAACAGATAGATGTTAGATGGCTTGAAAAGCTGTTTATGGCGATGAAACTTTCGGCAAAGCAGATTGAATTGCTGCACAGAATATCATGTTCTGAGAGATTTTTTATTGCTTCTCATTAGGAAGAGAAATCACCTGATTGCAAACATGTTTATTACCAGTCATACCAATTGTGTTCGTCACAGTTCAGTGGTTCAGACGCATCGCGCTCGCTTTCTCAGTCACTGATTTGTATACTGGAGTGACTGCACGATATCATGCATTTACCGCACTCCAAAGAGTCTGCGTAAAAGCAGACAGTCAAGCGAACAGTTCAAGAAGTCCGCAACGAATCGGTCCGTAAGTCGCTTTACCTCACCTTAGTCCGTAGTCTGCTTATGCATGGGAGTCCAATATGGGCTCCACAAACAGTAAAAAACATCATAAGAATTGAACGAGTGCAACGACGAGCCACTAAATTCATACTATCATTGCCATATAAAACCAATGTCTCGTACAGAGAGAGAATGATGACTAATCGAATCATCCCTCTGTGCTACTGGCATGAGTATTTAGACTGTAGATATGGTTTACGTATTCAAAAACGTCAAAAACAACTCGGACAATCATATTTGTAAAAAGTCATCTTTCTGAGAAACAAGGATGTCCGGTACATCAAATGGCATTTTGTTAAATGTAACCAAGAGTCGAACTGACAGTTTTAAAAACAGCTTCTACATCAGAGCTGCCAACGTTTGGAACACCCTTCCATGTTCTGTGAGATATCTCTATATCCCTTGGGTCATTCAAAGCACTTTTAATGAAATACAATGCAGATCTGACGGAACGAATTTACAATCAAAATGATCCTAAAACTTTCAAGTCTGTTTGTGTGAAATGTTACACATTACACAACTCGGCCTTTACGGATTATTTCAACAAGACCCTGCTGCTAACATTGCAATTTATGGCACTTTCTCAATACATGACTGATCCGCGATTTTCTTCTCTAACCAAATTTAATTCAATTAACATTTACGAATCTTGACTTCGGTTTCGATTAAATCATTTCACTTGACATTATTTGTTATCGTTTCTTCATGTATCGAGAAATTCCTATAAATTTGTTAAGTTGCTTATATGTGCATGTTTGTGTCTGTCTATTTGTAAGCAAGTTGTGGAACCCCGTTATTGGAGACATATCTCTGTGTGGTGATTCCAGCCATTGCATGTGTGTAGTTCATTTGTAGTTTATGTGTAGTTCATTCTAACTTTTTAACATCGCAAATTTATAAAATAAAATAAATAGAATAAACTATAGTCGTAATTGTCTCGTAAAAAGTAATTTTTGCAAGGGTGAGGAAATCCCAAGATTTCCTTTTCATTTAAAAATCCCAACTGCTTAAAGAATAGACCTTCTCAGCTTGCATGCAAATAAATGGAATGAAATTGGTTAATTTGCTTACAAGCTAAAAAGGTCTATCCCGAGATTTCGGGATGAATCCCGGACTTGGTGGCAACGTAACGCTGTTTTTCAAAGAGCCTGAGAACTAGTTTCGTTTGCTCTTCGGGGAAATCCCCGAGTGGGCGTCACACATGCAGCGTGCTGATTGGCAGATGATAAATACTATTGAGTATAGTCGCTCGCGATCTTGTGATCAACATCGGGTTCAAAGGAAACGCAGATTACAGAGTTTTTATCCGAAAAATTTCATTTTCGATGTTGTATTGATCGTCGCTCTCACGATGTCGTAGCATATAAACAATTGAAGGTAGGAATTAATAAACCATGTGTAATTTCACAGTAATTCGCATTTGCTGCAACACGACATAACTCAGAAGCGACTATTATTAAATCATGTGACGACTGACAATCGAGTGTGTCGTGCGAGATTTGGCGTATGAAGCAGCCTTAGAGACCTACTTTCACTACGAACTACAATAATTAGTCATGTGGTCTAACTATTCTACCTGTCTAATTATTGTTTGCAGTTATATGAACATGAATATATAGGTTATAAGCTTTTTCTTTATAGCGTGAGCCAGAATATAATAAATTGTATACTTCCGGTAAAAATCAGGGTAACTTATTGAGGGCAGACTCTCAGTTGCGCATATACGCGAGAAGACCAAATTATCGGGTATAGTTTATCCCTACTTTTGGTCTAAACAAGGGTTAAGAAGACATTTTCCACGTCGCGTGGCGTTTCAAAATGTTGTAGGATATAATCTTTGATTATACTGCGTAGGAGATTAGTAACTAACCTTGTGTATTCAGAGTAACGACAGATTATAAGCGAGTATGATATTCATAGGCGACTAAAATATCATGAGTTGATCGAGTATATTTTTTAGAATATTTTTTCCGATCATTATTTATGGCTGCGGCACTCGCAACCTCCGATAATGGAGGGTTCGTTGCAAGAAATTCGGGACGTTTTCAGTGCGAAATCGTAGCGCGTTGACACAAAGCATTATATTATTAATACGATACCGCCGTTTGTTTACCACGATATTAAATTTCAATGTACACACGCAAAGTAGGTAATTAATAAATTGTCCTTCCAAAGTATTATTATGTAATGCCTGTAGTTTATCTATTTATAACCAATAAAACGGGTACGACGTGGATACTACGAAACAGAAAAAGTTCACAAAGAGCAATGGGGTGTGTATAGTGTGACAAAATGTCTTTGTCAAGCCGATATTAGATCTAATACACATCATTACGTCTGTTTCCCACTAGGAATTTATTTGCGCGACGCAAAGCAATATCTGAAATCCGGTGATAAGTAATGTGTTTGGTCTACATTGACATTGTGTACAATACAAATTATACAATCGTATCATTTAACCGACAAAGTAGGGAGACCCAACACTTCTCTGAAAAGGCTCCTCAGCAAAGATTTACCTAATAGAGTATTCTCTTTGACCATGCCAACAATAAAATTAATATGATAATTTTAGCAGGTACATTAGGCTGCACACCGCCCGCCTTCCCGCGCGCCATTGATGAATTTTTTCCCGTCCGGATAACCTCAACCTCGTACCCAGGGTCTTTACTCGATAACCTTAGTATAACAGTAATTTACACGTCACGCGCACGTGCTGAAGCTGTCTACCATATGTATGTTGGACCGTCCAAGTTGGACGTTGGTGTTAAAGAGCGTTTGATTCCGTTGCAATAACTCAATGAAGTTATAAGCTAAGCTCAAATACTGATTTAGCAACCGAAATAGCGCGAAGATTAAAAGTAGTCGAGAACTAAAACAAAAGTTTTCATACACTAGAAAAACGCCAAAAAATGAGGCCGTCGACAACTATTAGTTGTATTAGAGTTTAGTTGCCGACAACTTGCACCGACAACTTTTTAGTTGTCGATCAAAAATAGTCGTCAAAAACTAATTCCCTAGTCTGTGGAGGCCCTAAGTATAATAATTACTGTTGTTGTTATTATAACGAGTTTGCGATTTATCGTCGTAATATGAAGGTCATAAGATAAAACGTAATTTTTTTTATTCTTATTAAAACGTAATTTTTTTTTATTTTTATTTGCCATTGTATGTGCATAAATTTGTGTTTTGCACGTGAAAGTATTGCATCTTAGTATATTTATTAACAGTAACGTAGCCAGCCTGTCGATTTGTCCCGCTATGCTAATATTTTAATGTTCACTGACTGTGAAAACAATAAATTTCTAAAGAGATGAATAATTATAATAACTCAAAATTTACATAGCGGTACAAAATCGTCAGGCTGGCTACGCCACTGTTTATTAAGTCATCTTGAATTGCCTTAATGTCGATAAATATAACTTGTATAAATATTTAGGTTTATCGTATTTTGTGACTGTTGTTTAGGACGGGCAATTTTGGCTTTCGTATTCGCCTGTTTCATAAAAAGTTGTAGGAATTGTATAGATCTTGAAGTATAGATCTTATGAAATATGAGCGGCGATTCTTATCAAAGGATCAGGAATCTATCTTGCAATGTTTTAATGATGAGAAATCCAGAATTTTACTTTTCTCACAAAGTAAACAAACCGCGCGAGTTCGCTCTTCATGTAGCTTTCGAAATACAGCATGCAGAGTTTAGACTTTGCTTTGCTTTAAGGATTTAAGCCGCGTTTTACACTACGTGCTCTGACCTGGCCTGGACGAGGCCTAGGCCTAGATGTGAACGCTGTTAATCCCGCCCAGACCAGGTCTGGACCTGGCCACAAAATCAGGCCTCCAAAACCTAGGCCACAAAATCAAGGCCAAAAGCGGAAGGTGGCCTGGACCTTACCTGGGCCAAGATTTTGGTAATGTGAACAGGCTTTACCTAGTCCTGACAAGTTTTGAACTTAATTGTGTAATTTATATAGAATCCACATAGTATTACCACTTTTCGGCGTGTTTTTGGTCTTTTTCTAAGTATTTTGTCAATTTGGCTATCCGATATCATTAACAAGGAAGAGAGTGTGAACGTGGCACATATTACCTAGACTTGTCCTAGAACTGGTCCTGTCCAGGTCACGTCTAGGCCTGAAGTGTAAACGCGGCTTAAGATAAACATTTGACATTTTAATGTGTGTCGTACATTTATACCGACTATATAGTTTACCAGTTCTAAGGCTATACTATAGGTTACAAAACTAGATCAAATTTTGTTTTTTAGGGTGCGCAGTGTGTCATTTTAGTACAAAGTCAGAATTGTTTTAAAGCACAGTCATTTTATTCAAAGATTGTGGTAATATGGGATTGGGCGGATCCAAGGAAGATGCCGTGTCGAGCGAAGACAGCGATGAAGGTAAGAATTATAGAATGCTTTTCAGAATAAGCTTCGGTGGTAAAAATAGGTAGACTGCACCTGAAAAAATATCACCTCAGCTTGAAATTATGACGCTTTTTCACATGTCCATCATGGCCGCGTGAAACGAAAGACCCAAACTCACCAGTAATCTAGTTACGCAAAATGATGAATGTTTGATTACATATGTCTAGATCGAGTTTCCATAATGTCTTAATCGTATCGTTTAATTTTGCTATAATCCCCAAGCGGGCGAGGAGCACCCTGCGAGGGTACTAATTCCGCTGGGAGATTAATTACACCCGGGTATTGTGACAGAACATACCGGAAACCAAAGTTGCCAAAATTCTATGTCATGGACCCAGTGATCTCTAATAAAACTGGAACGATAACTGAACAATAAAGACTAGTCATTGGATGAAGCCGATTTGAATATAATTTGCTGATTAAGGTGGCAGCCGCGCGAGCAAATCAAGCCTTCAAAAGAACTGGGGAGAGTGAGAATTCCGTAAAAATCGTATTTTTTGGCAAAAATTGCCAGAAAAGTGCAATTTTTATTTGACCACTTCAACTTTAAACAACGAATTTACCCTTTTTGGATAGACCTAAGTAATCGCATCATCTTAGTGTAAAAACCGGCGAGGTACCAGCTTTATACTTGAAATATTTAAAGAATTTGAACGGGCCGAAAAAAAACTTCGCCTTCAACTCGCAAAAAAAATAGGTTTGCACCTTTTCACGTTCGTAAAACTTGTTTTTTAGTAAAATCTAAGTGTCAATGCTTGTTTTAAGATTTTATTCATGATCAGATGAGATGGATTTGTGTGTAAAAACCGGCGTTGTTTTGGTGGTGTAATTTCAACTTTTGGCCTTCATGGCGGCCATCAGTGCTGGCTTCAAAGATGGCGGCCAAGTTATCGTTCCAGTCTTTCTAGAGTTCACTGCATGGACCATGGACGTTCAATGGTCATGGTACTTGTGCGCACGCGCAAAATTTGAGCGAGTGAAGACTGGTAATTAGCAACTTGCTGATTAGCTAAGACGAAACGTTTGTGTTTCAGTGAAAAACGTCTGCAATTTGACTGTCATTTTGGGAACTATTTTTTTAAAAAAAAATGTTTCGAAAGCACGATTTAAAAGAGTTTGAAACATCATCGGAACTGGAAGAGTTAGCAGTGAAAAGGAACAACTCGTTGTTTATAATCTTTGAAATTGTAGGTGTCTACTTTGTTTATTTCAAAGTTTACTTCGTGTTTGCTGTATACGAATGCATTTTATATGACCTTTGGCACAATATGTCGTTTTGCTCGGTTTTGCGAAGACATAACCGACTATTTAAGGTTTACATCATCGTTTTAACTTCTAAAAGAGTTCTTAAAAGCGTAATTCGGAGTTTTGATATATCAAACTATCACTTTCAAGCTTGTATAGAGTCGATTGCAATCACTGCATGAATTCAATAATCGAAAAACAACATTGACGTTTACTGCTAGGTTATTTATATTATTTGTTTTATATTATTTGTGCTGTTTTGATATTTTGAAGGTTTAGCTATAATCCAGGTTTTGCGCTAACCTAGCTCTGACCAATTTCCTTGCATGTAGAGATATTGAACAGAAGCAAAACGCAAGTGGAAGTATGAATTTTTGTGAAGAAGGAAAACTACAATTTTGGGAGAATATTTCGTGACAATATTTCGTGTTATAGAAATGAAAACCCTACCCCCTACTATAGGGTGAGCAACCTGGGAGGTGCATAATTTCCACTAACAAATTCCCGAGCGGACGGATTTATGGAACAATTTACGATCGCCGCCTTGTTTGGGAGACAAAGTTATGAATAGCTACTCTTTTGAAATAACAAATGCTACAGTTTGCAACGGGCATTCTCTCCCAACGATTGTAAAACTCCACTTCCCCCAGAATTCAATCATGCCTGCGATGGCGGTTTCCCTTAGGGGCCGATTACATGGGTCATTTTCAACCCCGGGGGTTGAATTCAGCCCTGTTGACCAGAATGAAATTTCAGCCCTGCCTCACTATTAATATCCTATAAAATACAATGCGCGATTACATGACAAATTCAACCTCGGGGTTGAATTCAGCCTTGGGGTTCAAAGTTCATCCCTGCCTGAGCTACCCGAGCTGAAATCTCAACCCTGGGGTAAAACTAGTTGTTAAATTTGTCATGTAATCGTTTCAACCCAGGGCTGAAGTTATTCGAACATGCGTAGTAGTGCCATTTACGCACGTGACTGAATACTAAATGCGAATTTATTATTCGCGGGCATTTTCAAACCCAGGGTTGAAATTATTCATGTAATCTAAAAAAATTTCATCCCGGTCAACAGGGCTGAATTCACCCCGGGGTTGAAAATAACCCATGTAATCGGCCCTTTAGAAGTGTAGGACTCACCTAGTTTTGAACAGCCCTGGTGTTGGTTTTCATCTTTCTTTCATGTAAAGTTCATCTTTATTTTGCATATTTAGGTATTGAAAAGGAGGCGGAGCCAAATGGGAGTAGAAATGTCTGTGAAGAAGAAAAACAGAAATTTTGGGACGAAATAAAAAAGCAAGTTGAATGTGGTGAAAACAAAGAAGATCGTTGGAAGACGACGATTCTTTGGCGTGCTTTTCAGTTTAGTCCAGTAGATCCGAAAATTGTCAAATATTTAGTTGACCATGGAGCAGACGTCTATTCCAAGAACGAAGAAAGTGAAACAGCTCTGGGGATAGCGACGAGAAATGGTTTACTCGATCTTGTTAAGTATTTTGTGCAATATGGCCCTGAACATAATTTTCAAGATGATTGCAAAGCTCTTCAGGGTGCAATACAGTCTCGATCATTAGAAATTGTGCAATATTTCGTTGAAGATTGTCGTGCTGACATACATTGTAAAGATGAATTGGGGAAAACCACTTTACAGCATGCTGTTGAAGTTGGTGTAGTAGATATTGTCGAATATTTAGTTGAGCAATGTGGCGCTGAAGTAAATGAAAACACTGCTAATGGATGGACAGTGCTTCACACTGCTGCTACTAAAGGCTCACTAGGAATGGTGAAATATCTCGTTGAAAATGGCGCTAATGTAAATGGCAAGGATACTGACGGGACGACAGTGTTGCACAATGCTGTTACGGAAGGAAACCTCGAAATCGTAAAATATCTTGTTCAAAAGGGTGCTGATGTAAATGGCAAGAAGACTACTGAATGGACAGTGCTCCACACTGCTGCTACTACTAAAGGTACACTAGGAATAGTAGAATATCTTGTTGTAAATGGCGCTGATGTAAATGGCAAGGATACTGACGGGAGTACAGTGTTGCACAGTGCTGCAACTGAAGGAAACCTGGAAATGGTAACATATCTTGTTGAAAATGGCGCTGAAGTAAATGGCAAGAAAAATAACGGGAGGACAGTGCTGCATGATGCTGTTAGTAATAGTGAAATAGTGAAATATCTTGTTAAAAAGGGCGCTGACGTAAATGGCAAGGAAACTGACGGGTGGACAGTGCTACACACTGCTATTACTGAAAGCACGGCAGAGATTGTGAAATATCTTGTCGAAATGGGCGCTGATGTAAATTCCAAGAATACTGACAAGTCGACAGTGCTACACGATGCTGTCACGGAAGGAACGCTGGAAATGGTAAAATATCTGGTTGAAAAAGGCGCTAATGTGAATGAAAAGAAGAATAACGGCTGTTCAGTGCTGCATGATGCTGTCACGGTGGGAACGCTGGAAATAGTAAAATATCTCGTTAAAGAAGGCGCTGATGTAAATGGAAAGAAGAATGACGGGTGTACTGTACTGCACTTTGCTGTAACCAAAGGTACGCTAGAAATGGTAAAATATCTTGTTGAAAATGGCGCTGGTGTAAATAGAAAGAATACTGATGGGAGGACAGTGTTGCACTATGCTGTCACGAAAGGAACGCTGGAAGTAGTAAAATATCTCGTTGAAAAAGGTGCTGATGTAAATGGCAGGAAGATTAACGGTTGGACAGTGCTGCACGCTGCTGTCATGGAGGGAACGCCGGAAATGGTAAAGTTTCTTGTTGAAAAGGGCGCTGATGTAAAAGCAAAGAAGACTAACGGCTGCACAGTGCTGCACGATGCTGTCACAGAAGGAACGCTGGAAATGGTAAAGTTTCTTGTTGAAAAGGGTGCTGATGTAAATGGAAAGAAGACTAACGGCTGGACTGTGCTTCACGATGCTGTCACGGAAGGAACGCTGGAAATGGTAAAGTATCTTGTTGAAAAGGGCGCTGATGTAAATGGCAAGGAAATTAACGGCTGGACAGTGCTGTTCGCTGCTGTTACTGCTACTACTGAAGGTACATTAGAAATGGTAAAATATCTTGTTGAAAACGGCGCTAAAGTAAATGGCAAGGATACTGACGGGTGTACCGTGCTCCACTATGCTTTTACTGAAGGCACTCCAGAAACGGTAAAATATCTTGTTAAAATGGGCGCTAATGTAAATGGTAAAGATGATCACGGGCGTACAGTGCTGCACTATGCTTTTACTGAAGATACGATTGAAATTGTAAAATATCTTGTGGAGATGGGCGCTAATGTAAATGGTAAAGATGCTGATGGACGTACAATCTTGCACATTGCTGCCCATACTGGTGCATTGGAAATTGTCATGTATTTAGTTCAACATGGTGCTGACATAACTCTTGAAAGTGAAATCGACGTTCATACTCTTGGGATTGACATCCTAAAGATGGCGGTTAAGAGAAATTCGGTTGCTTTGATAAATCTTCTGTTGGAAAAGAACATCGCTCCGTGGAGAGCTGGAACATGGCTTGTTGATGGAAAGCGAATGAGCTTTTCTGAATGGAGTAGTTATCTTGGACATGATGAAGTTGCAACTACCCTCAAACGTTCCGTAAAACATCGTGAAAAGGTTCAGATGTTGAGAACAACGAATTGCAACCAGTTAGAAAAGGTAATGTTTTAAATATGTACGAGTTCGTTTTAATACATTTGCGTATAGTGACAAATGTTAATAAGTAGTTACATCACGCCTTGTTTGTTGCAGGTTTGGGTAACACAAAACATGTGTTTCTGCAAAAATATGTGTTGGATTGATTTAAGATCTAGATATTTAGAACCTTAGAATTGATGTAACGTACCAAATTTTACGGGTCCACCTTAAATATGTCTAGCTTTTTCTCCCCACCATATAGATAATTTATGGGTTCCTTCATAGGCTGAAATACCGATGCAGGCTTTTGTCGCAAAGAATCAATTCAAAATTGGCGATGGTGGTTTTTCTTGTGTCTATGTTGGCCTCATGAAAGATGGAAGTGAAGTTGCTGTTAAGAGAATTTTGATACAAAGTGAAGACAAAACAGTTGAAAATGAAAAAGAAATCATGAGTCTTATTAAAACTAAGAATTCACCATTCATAGTGAGTTATCGACATTTTCACCGTGACGATAACTTCATGTATCTTATTGTTGATCTTTGCGAAGAAAACTTGAGTGAACTTGTTCATGCATGCAGTATTGAACATCTACAAGAGCATGGTCCACGAATGATTAGGGAAATTCTATCAGGACTTCAATTTCTTCATGAGACCGGGATATTGCACAGAGATCTAAAACCATCAAACGTCTTGGTTCATATCGAAGGTCGCATGAAATTGGCAGACTTTGGGATAAGCCGCGTTCTTAAAGACGATGAAACGACAGTTGAAACATTTGCTAAAGGTACTCCTGGATGGATGCCACGGGAAGTAATTGAAGCAATAGACAAAGAAGAAAAAGGTCCTTTCAAAAAGAAATCGGATGTCCAGGTAGCGGGTATGATTGCTTTCTTCATCTTAACTAAAGGTGAACACCCTTTTGGATCTTCGTTAGATCGAATGAAAAATATTTTAAAAGGAAACCCTGTCTATTTGAACAAAATCGGCCTTCGTAAAGCCCGAAAGTTTGTTTCGTGGCTTATTCGTCACAAGATTGATGATAGACCTTATGCTGACGAAGCGCTAAGAGATTCTTTCGTTGGTGGAGATCGAGAAACGTAAATCAGAATTAGCCAACAGAGATAGACGTTGTGAGGAACCACAGTATGAACCTCAAGCTACAGGTTGAACAAGTATTCTGTGAACTTCGACACTTTATACTATAAATTCTGGTTCTCGTATGTCACCGACGGTCGGTGATGACCATTGTCGATGATCACTGGAGAATATGATTGTTTCGTAACCGACACCGTCTTCGTCACCGACCAGAAACAATACATCACCGACTGTTGGCGAAATATGAGAACCAGACTTAAACAATTATTGAATGAGGTTGAGCATTATAATATAGCTACTTACTGCAATCTGATTGTCCTGGAGATATTCTCTTCAGATTTCAGCTTTGGTGAGTAGCAAAAACAAAATGGCCGACAGTTTTGCATACGAGTGATAAAGAAGAAATTAAAACACTTTTTTAAAGTTTAGTTCCCAGAGATTTAAACAATTAAACAAAATATGAGATGCCTCAAATGCGGTATGACAACTGCCTAAAATAGACAAAAACACTTCTCGACGTTTCGACGAAGGCCCTCAGGTCGAAACGTCTAGAAGTGTTTGTTTATTTTAGGCAGTTGTTATACCACTTTTAATGCTAAGTTGTTTGAAGACGCTGCCACGCTGCTCCCTGGTTATATTGAAAAATATTGATGGGTAAATAGAACGGACAAAAGGAAGCTTTTTGTTTATGATATGTCCATGTAAACATTGAGCGGAAGATTGACTGAGATTATATTCGTGGATTCTGGACTTGAAATTCCTAAAATATTACCCCTGAGTTTTTGGAACGATATTGTTGATTTTGCAAGGGACAAAATTCGTGAAAATATGAAAAAAATCAGCTTAAATTAAAATCAATTAAAATTAATTGCAATACATTTTGCCACTTTCCATTTCTAAGAGTATTCCGCTAATCAAACAATCTTTTCTATAGCAAGCCAAATTTTCAGGCGCGAGAAATATTTCGGCAACTAATTAGGCAAATTTCAGAGATAATCAAAATTGGGATATCTATGCCTTAATATTGTTTAGTATTGTTCTATTTGTATGTATAACAGTATAGTGTATAGATATACAATCTGTCCTTTGTAAGGAAACTTACTAGTTTTATGACTTTTTAAGATTGTAATCTGTTTTTAGAAATAAATCGAGGACCATATATGAAAAGCCTTCATATACCAATCTCTGATATTTCAAAAAACTCTTGAGCGACATATTTGTGTTTTAGAAAAACCATCAGCCTCACTCCTCCCAGCTACTGACCTGAATAATATGAATGCAACCTTATTTTTTTATTTCTTTCATTTGTTCTCTCTGAATGTTAGCCATTTTCGTGGGATAAACCAGAGGCGGGCCTAGGGTCCAGTCAGTCGCGCGACTTACGTATTTTTTGCAGGCGGAGATGACAATTAAATATTCAAATCTATCTATAAATATGAATAACTAACTTCCTTTCCGATTGTAAAATATTAGATTCATATCATAGGCCAGTTTGAAGGGCTCAGTTTCAGAAAAACAATGTTCTTTTACCTAGAACAGCGGACAAATGCTTGCAGAATCGGGTCGTCAGCCCGCTCACTTGATTGGTCGATACGGCATTTCGACTTTTTCCGAGTGATTCGCAGGGGGGGATTGATTTGCTCTTTAAGGGAGACAATCAGTCTATTTCTTGTATAGTAACTGGGTAGTTTAAATTTACCGGATTTGTGGAGTGCGGTGGCCGGTTTTACATGAACTTTTAAAGGGGTCTGATTGCTTTGTCTTCAGAGTTCACAACAACAGAATTTAAAATTTAAGCAAGCCAAACTTTTACTTCTAATCTCACGAAGGATTGGAATTTCATTGTTAAAAAATTCGTTTAAGATGCGGACGTTCGAAGTGCGTATGTAGAAGACGACTTACTCTTGATAAACTTTATCGCGCTGCAGCGATTTCATGCGAGCAGCTGTGTTGTCATGAAGGTAAGACTGGTAAGATAAACGTTCAAGAAAGATGAAATGGACATAATTTAACAAATATGGATATATGCTGAAATATATAATGATTTAGGAGTGTTCAATGTGATAACTTCGTGTTCTTTTTGATGTAGCCTAAGAGTGTTTGCATTATGTTGAATGTTCGCGATTAATATTAAAACACTCGCGTATATTTTTATCATAATTGACCATAACAAAGCTGGCGGATGTACATTTTACCAGAATGCATTGCGGTCGGAAATCGTTTAAGAAAGCGAACTGACGTCTTTTAAAGGACAGGCATTAAACAGGAAGTTATTTTAGTAGCTGCGTTAAATTTCACTTCATTAGGAGTTTTTCTTGCCATCTTTTTTCAGTCAATCATTCTTAATGCCCGCAATGCATTCTGGTAAAATGTACATGCCGCCTTTTTTGTTACGGTCAATTATTATGTCAATAGTTACGGTCAATAGTTATGATTAGCATTGTTTGGTAAAGTTCTTGCATGGTAATGACTAATGTATCTTGCACATTGCAATTGAAATGTTTCTCTTTATTTTGCTTGGCGATTTTGTGTGATTTGTGTTTGATCGACTATTGCTATCATAACGCAAATTTCACTCAATCCTGTGATGATTGTGCAGGATTTAATGAGCGAAAGCAACAGCGTGAAGTTGTGTGTTTTGAAAAAACATGACGCCCGCCCTCTGTTTGTTAATCCATGAGCCATCTGCATCATGCGACAACCCAGTGTGGTGGCAAATCAAGAGTTTGTCCTCCCCCTTTAGGCGTCCTCCTTGAAACACTACGAGCAGGTCACACCGAACGGGCCCGCGAAAGCTTATCCTCTCTGTAAAGTGTAAACCAGAGGTCTTTTGGTTCAAACTTAATAATGTTAGCGCGCCTTTAGTTGACGATCAAGTGTGAGATAATTTTATATAGGAATCACTGCACAGTTTATTATTCTTCTTTGCTATGATAAGAAGAAAATCGCCCTGAACGTTGTTTGTTTGCTTTCATTAGGGTGAAACGTCGCCTGATCTGCGAACATTTTTATCACCTGCTTCGTTCCAGTCTAATTTGAGTGCAGTGATTTACACCTCTGAGTCTATAATAATTCTTATATAGATCAATAGATCATAATATATATAGCTCGGTGGTTCACACGCGCTGCGCTTTCTTTCTTAGACACTGATCCATGCACTAGTGGCTGAACGCAATTCTATATTTCTAAAGGACTTGGGTGAGAGGCTGAGATTTACCTTTATAGACGCCAATCCGTAGCAGAACATCGGCGCGAGTTCTTGTATATTTTAGCGTTAATTTTCTCGTGTACACGTGCTCTGGCAGATTCTAAAGAAAATATAAAACTATAAATGATCCAAACTTTGTGCTTGAAAATATCTTGTAAATGAAATTGTTGCAGAGTTCGGGCAGGACCCTCTTGAAAAGTGCTTGAATGTAAATATTCAGTTTTAAGAGCGCTTCAAAGATACTTGAGAATACAAGACGAGTTAAGGTGTTTTAAAATAGCTTGAAGAATAGAACATAAATTTAAAACTTCCGGTACGACAAAATAGTCCTTGAAATTTTACAGCTCAGTGCTTAAATTTGTCTATTAATTAATAACATGAACTCTGTTGCCATGAAAATATTTTTAAGTAAGTGTTGGTAAATTAATCACATTCTGCTTCAGAAATTTGTAGTTATCAAACTATCACTCTCAAGCTGATTGAAAACACCAAAATTTTCTCAATATCCCAAGCTTGAACCAAGCAGACAATACTGAAGGGTTGTGATGTGAATCCTGGTCAGTAGACACTTGGTATGAATACTCAATTAAAAGTTTTTATTCCAGTCAATTTTTCTGCAAATTTCTATATAAACAGTAAAAGAAAATACATATTATGATTGTTTTGGCATGAAAAGATTGAGAACAATTTTCAGTGGCGGTATGGGGGACGATAATGGCGGGGGGGGGACACATATAGAAAAAATGGTGATGAATTTGTCTGACAATCCTGAGTCATTGCCACGCTATACACGAATTTTTTTATATCGGATATCCTGAAGAAAATAAAACTATAAACGATCTGAATGTTTTTACGAAAAAAAAATATTAGTGTTTGTAGGGTTCACTGAATAGACGCTGCTGAATACTGAATAGTTAGCCCTGTGTTGTGAACATGTAACTAGAGACATGGTCTGGACCAAAGTTTTTGTTACAATCGCTTGTTAGTTCGTTTATGTGCAGACCACTGAAAAGTGAAGAAATATATATCGAATTTTCATTCAAGAAAAACGTGGGAACCAGTTTTGTTTGCAATGCTGGGAAATTCCCTTCCCAGCAGGATGCCTTGAATATCATCACAGCATGGGCTGATTAGTTAAAAACAAATGCCACAGATGATGCTTCATTTTCATCGACGTTAAAGTTTGTTGAAAACCGAGGTTACAGAGATTTCAATTGGAAGTATTTGTTTCATTTTTTGCTGTATTCGGTCGCTTGTAGAATATAGCTAAACTATTCAAGGTAGGGAATTCATAAATAATTTTGTGTGGTTGGCATATTTGTGCGAGGCATTGTCTCGTATGCTGTAATCATTAAATTCTAACGCTGCGCCGATTTACTGCCACAACGAATTTATTTCAGCGACTGAAGCAGTGTTTATTTTAGCCAATTTATAAGACCAAAATTTTACCTAGAGTTAAATAAGAATAGACAGCGCAGAAGGCGACTTTAGATGGCCACATAGAGAGTGGCATGCATGTATATATATATATATATATATAAATAATATAATATATATATATATATATATATATATATATATATATATACACCCATTTGCAAAAACGTTCACCGCAGATAGATAGATAGATAGATACTCGAAGTCTAATTAGACTCGAAGTCTTATTGCATATGATTACATTTGCACGGGATTTCAATCATATTACACAACATATGCAATTCTAATTAGATTTCGAGTATCTATCTATATATCTATATATATATCTATAATATATATGAATGTACCTAACATTTAAGGACGACTTTGTTCTAAGCCAATCAAGCAATTGATGGCATTTTCACTCTTAACTAATAAGGATTGCCCGAGATGTAGAAAATCAGTATTGCCACTATCTCACGTCTATATTGTTACGCAAGGCTTCATAGTGATTGAGATACGCATATAAAAATAGCCATAAAAATAGAAGTAGCAAGAGCATGACAGGGATTAGTGATTAATTTTTGCCACAAGACGCCTGAGTAAATATAATTTCGGCCCATTCGCAACCATTAATCACATTTCCTTTCATGCATGACATTTCGTGGGATTGAATTAAGTAGTAAGTTGAAAATATCAATCATCCTGTCAAAACGTGTGCATCTGGATCAACAATCGTATGTCGTTGCCAAGTTTAACTGTCATAATTGAAAATATGCATGCTCGAGGCAGCTGCGAAGCTCTTATGTCAATCAAATGTGTTTTT